ACTTGGCGATTTGCAAATCGCCTACTAGCTAGCATCGTCCAAAATAACATGAAATATTCATAAAAGAACACAAACTTATGGATCAGCTAAGCTGCCAGAAAGAAGATGCAGCAACCAAATATTACCAGAACCAATAACAAGATCCCCATCAATATGCTACAGCAGCAAAAAACAAATTGCAGCCAAGGTAGTGCATAGGCATATCCGCCAAGGGCCCATCTACCTAACCAGCAACGAGCATCCTTGAGAATTGTGCCTGGAGTTTGGTTATTAGTCAAATCTCCAATGATGACTTCAGATCGTAAGTTATGTCGACGAATTTCATAAGTTAAATAGGTAATTATCTAGTGTAGGTTAACAACCCCTAAAAAAGGACCGGAAAAGTCGGGAGGTACCAAACGACGCGTTTCGGCCCCCCTATTAACAATCTGGAGAGGGAGGGTTAATATTATTAACCATTTAAAAGTTATAAACAAAAAACTTGTTAAAGTTCGTTGTTTTCTATGAGCAATTACCACGACAAAAATGCACTAAATAACCAGTTCACACTTTTGAAACACTACTAAAACGTCTCCGGTTATTATTTTATGCAAACCAAATCATTTATTCACTTTTATTTTATATATTTCGTTAATAAAACAGAGTAAACAAACTTTGCGCCTGCCAAAATTATTATAACCTCATATCGCTGGTATTACCACTTTATCTCACACTTCATTTGCGCTATTATACTGAGTTTACACTATACACTTCTTCTTCTTCTTCTTCTTTTTTTACTGTGACCTAAATAAGATATTCTAACCAAAATATAATAGCAAATTTCGCTATACCATGGCAGCGCTACTTTTATGGTTTACAGTTATTTTAGCTGTAATTAAAAGTAAGCGTCATGGAGTGCCAAAAGTGCGATTTTTTTATTAAAAATTTACATTATTTATCGAAGTATTGATAAATCGCGCGATTTTTTATTAAAAATTTTCGCATGCGGCGCTTTTTCCATAAAAATGAAAAATAAATAATTTGGTTTGCATAAAATAATAACCGGAGACGTTTTAATAGTGTTTTAAAAGTGTAAACTGGTTATTTGGTGCATTTTTGTCGTGGTAATTGCTCATAGAAAACAACGAAATTTAACAAAAGTGTTTTGTTTATAACTTTTAAATGGTTAATAATATTAACCCTCCCTCCCAGATTGTTAATAGGGGGCCGAAACGCGTCGTTTGGTACCTCCCGACTTTTCCGGTCCTTTTTTAGGGGTTGTTACCCTACACTAGATAATTACCTATTTAACTTATGAAATTCGTCGACATAACTTACGATCTGAAGTCATCATTGGAGATTTGACTAATAACCAAACTCCAGGCACAATTCTCAAGGATGCTCGTTGCTGGTTAGGTAGATGGGCCCTTGGCGGATATGCCTATGCACTACCTTGGCTGCAATTTGTTTTTTGCTGCTGTAGCATATTGATGGGGATCTTGTTATTGGTTCTGGTAATATTTGGTTGCTGCATCTTCTTTCTGGCAGCTTAGCTGATCCATAAGTTTGTGTTCTTTTATGAATATTTCATGTTATTTTGGACGATGCTAGCTAGTAGGCGATTTGCAAATCGCCAAGTTTTCCAGCTACGGCCCCATACAATTCGTCGCATGAAAGATCACTGCCACTCTTCCCGAAGTTTATCCGGCACATATTTCCAAAAAATGCTAAAAGGAAAAGAACAAAACTATTAAATTGTAATATAATGAGCTAAATACGGAACTTACCACCTCGTGCCAACCTCATGCCATTCAGGAAATCAGAATGGCTGCGTTTCTTTATACATTCCGGATAATTCCATTTCACAGCCGGAATAAACAGAATACGTTTGAAATATACGTTAACATATCATCAGGAACGTTCTAAAGAATAAGTAAACAAAAAAGTTTATTCCAAACGTTCAGAATGAATAAAGAAATTCAGCCTATATGTGCTGCATTTTGACATAAATTTAAAATAGAGATGTGTTGAGTTGGCGAACGCTCGGTACCCACTGCTTCAGTGTGGGTACTCGATACCGATTCGATGCATTCTGCCGTGGCAAATTATATGAACATTTCAATCACTTTTGCACAAGACACATTAACCCATCCACAACAGGAATTATTGTTGTTGTCGAAACTTCGATAACTTTATTAAAACTTCGATAATACTAACTTTTTTATTTTTTTCCCTTATTTTTTTTTTTCACTCCCTAAAAGGTGCGTGGATCCGGTTTTCACAAGGAATATCCTCAATAAAAAAATAAAAAAATAAACATAAAAAGACAATGCGACGTTCATGCGATATCGCCCCAAAGTCACTAATAAGTTTTAGCTCTAAAATGCTTGTCTTCCATATGGTTTTGGCTGTTGTGCATTAGAAGTTTTTTAATAGTCCGACACCGAGTATCGAAAGTATTAGATACTTTTAAATCGGTATCGAGTAGCTATGAATACTCATATGTGTTTACTCATCACATCTCTAACATAAGAACGTAAATTGCAATTTACGCTCTTGGTTGACAACGCAGCCAGGGTTAGGACTCCCTACGATCGTTAAAACTGAAAATTTACTACGCAACTCGATAACGGCGAGCTACTTAGATTTGTTCGGGCCAAAACAAGGCTTATTACATACGCATTTCCTTTAAATATAATCATAAGTGAATAAATTTTTAAGTGCCCTACAAATTAGTAATATCAAAATAAAGCATTAAGTTGTTATACTACTAAGTACATACATAAGCATTTGCGGTTTAATCGATTCAGCGAAGTTCCACACCATGCGAACAAATAATAAAATTGTTTGTTCTTTTGGGTGGGAGGCCAAGGTTAACACACCATAATCATTCCCTCACCTATTGTACCACGATTGAGAGAATACAAAGGTTGCGCCGATCGCGGACCGCTATTTCTCTCTTAACGAATTTGACAGAATCGTTGTTTGCATGACGTCACACTGGTGCAACTTGTTTACATTTTCCTTGCAACATTTTTTCTTCTTCTTCCATTCTTGCTCACGTTTTGGCATTTCTCTCTCGCAATTCCCCAGTGTGACGTCACACAAAAGTTATTTTCAAAAATCCTCTCTGATCGGCGCAATCTTGTATTCCATCATTCTTGCTATTGTACGATATAATCGAAGTACTATTCAGCCACTATACACTGCAGGGCACGAAATTAGTCCCAAAAATTAATTAAATAAGGTCAGAATGTCTAACAAATTTCACAAAAATAGTATACAAAATATAAATCATATAGTGGCAACCAATTTTTATGTATTTATGTACAACTCGCCACCCAACTGTAATATATGTAAATGGAATTAAGCTACTTGAAACAAAAGTACAAGTACCAACCAATAATAAATAAAAAATAATATATATATATATATATATATATATATATATATATATATATATATGTAGATGCATATAAAGACTCGGAGCGGAAACTCGGCCTTTCCGCCCGATCACATCAGGGGATAGGAAACTTGGGCTTTCCGACCCAAGTTCATATACGCAAATACCACAACGACCACCTTCAGACAATTAAAAGCGCTATGGAGCGGAAACCAGGCGTTTCCGCCCGTAGCCAGACCAACGATCAATTTTATCAACTACGGTATCGAGGTAGACTGGAGACTCGGCCTCGCCAGCTATCGACTGCCTTAAATTATTCCAACTATGTGCAAAGAAATGTTTAACCACGTCCTTTCGTACTAACCTTCTCTTTTTTAATATCCAGGAAGCCGAATACAATTTTTTATTTCCTTTTAAAATTTATTTGTTAATGCAGGTGTGGTGGTTGAATGGCTCGAGAGATGTTGCTTATAGCAAGGGGGCCGGCATGTTTAGAACACGGACGCCTATCAGTCACCACCCTTCATCACACACCATACAGGTAATATTTCGTATTCACCTTACATTTGTATATGTGGATACATACATAATTAATAAATCAAACACATATTTGACGGAGAATTAATTTTTCGTGGCTTTATTTATTTTCTCGGCCTACACTGAAAATACATTGGTGCACCTATGAACAGACCTCTTGGGCAAAATAATTAGATCTCATTTTGAAACACTTAGGTCGTATTTAGGAAAACGACCATTTAACCTCAGTATACCATCTGTCAGATAGGGGTTTAACGACGCTATTTTTGATGAATGCTTAACTTGTTGTCCGCTCGCTAATATTTCGTACTCCTCGCTGTAAAAATTTCGCTATGTGTGTTCGATCAAGTACATCTCCGTTGTTTGTAGTTCTTCAAACGTTATTTCATCGACGCCAGAACATTGTATAAACTTTCGATTGCTTAACTGTTGGTTTGCTGACTTTGTCTTAGACCCTTTTACAAAGGGAATTGCGTATGCTGTTACTCTTAAAAGCTTATTTAGACTTCTTTAATTTTCAATGGTAGTAATTGGTGCAATTACTAGCTTATTTTGCTCGATGTGGTTGGCAGTATTCAAAACTAATGATCTATGAATTGCAAGCTTCGCTAGCCAGTTTTCTTCATTTTCTCGAAGCCAGTTTGGCCCGAACTTCCAAATATTGGACTCAAGCAGATGTTTCGCCTTTATACCTCTGGTTAGCAAATCAGCTGGATTAAGCTTGTCGCAACAATGATGCCAATCATATATATTCGATATTGGGTTAATTTCGGTTACTCTTGCCTTAATATACGGTTTAGGTTTTCGCCTTCACCCATTTATCCAGTTTAATGCAATACTTTGTTGCTTGCTTACCTTATCGGCTGCGTCGATTTCGCTGTGGAACTTGGTACGCTTGCTGTTATGCACTCGCTAGCTCGTCGGAGTTGGGTGGGTTGCTTGCCCACAAATTCGCATGCTGCGGCAACTATAGAATACCCGCTCTGTGAACCACTGACTGTGATCACCCCACCCTCATTGCACTTGCCAGACCTTAAGCATACCTGAAATGCCCAACCCTACTCGTCTCTCCCCGCTTCGTCCTCTGTCAATCCCCCACGTACCCCCCTCGTACAGGTCTCGGTTTGCCTCCAAACTGAATGAGGCCGGCCAATCCGTCCCTCCACAACAATTGCTAGCCTTGGCCCTTGTGGCTAGCCCCAACTGCACCCTCACCCATTTATCCGAGTTCCCCGCTTAACTCAATCCCTCCATCCCATCCGTCCGTCTAAGGTTTCACCCAGAAATTCATTCATCACACACACCACTTCAATTTAGCAATCCATTTTGTTTATTATTTACATTAGTGCTCAAATGTGGCTACACTCTAGTATTTTACTTTGGTAAGAGCTCAGCGCTCGGAATAAGTCAGGCTGCGGGATTCTGATATCACTAATGCTAAGTTAAACGAGAACCTCCGAATCTGCCACCTCAGACGTCTTGGTGTGGGACTCACAAGCTTGCGAACCAAAGGTTGGCCCTTGTATTAAACCGATATGCCCTTCCTACGCCCTTTTTACTCGTTGCACAAATCGCTAAACCTACTAATTTCCTTAACCTTACGCATCTTCTTAAATAATTACAATTAATAGTATTCTTTACAAAAGTATTAATTCATTGATTTTGGAATGTGTTGTAATGTAGCATCGGCTACGATACAATAACATACAGCATCGTGCATACATACAATATTGTACATACATACTGCACCGCACATACATACAACATTGTACATACATACTCCACCGTACAGTAAATACAGACATACATACAGCGACGTACATACACACACCATTGAACATACACACAGCATCAAGTGAGCACTGCTAGCAGCATGCCCAAATAACTCACCAACCACTTCGCTCACCACATTGCATAAATCGGGACGGCACACGACGAATTCTCAACAAGCATGCAGCGCAACAGGTATAAAAGGCTTAACAAGTGCGCAGTCAGGTCAGTCTTGCTAGGTGAGTAGCTGACTTGACTGGTCGATGAGCGGGAGGCGTGCTTGCGCGCTAATGTCTTGCCGGCCAGCCAAGCCAAGCTCGGCGTAACCAATCGGTCGATCAGCTGGTGTGCCTGCGGGCGTGCCAATGTGTCACCGACTGGCCAAGCCAAAACCAAGTACGACTCAATCCGCCGGCGGACCAGGATTGCACGCCTTTTAGGCATCCTAATTGGTCGCCGGCTGGTTGAGCCTCCGACACCGCCGACCCGTTCCAGCCCTTACTTTTGTAGAGTGCGATTAGGGGAATGGCGGTGCCTGGAGTGAGTCCTGCTAGGTCGCTTCGCTCCACCGGTTGCCGAGGGCCAGCACGAACAACCCGTTGCTGTTAGAAGTCACCCGCTACCGCATATCACCCGTCGCGACACCCTCGTTGCTCAACAATTGTTTAGAATCACCCGCCGTGCTGCTAGCGCTCCCACCGTTGCTCAACCGTTGCTCCGCTGTTGCTAAGAGTCACCCGCCGTGCTGCTAGCGCTCCCACCGTTGCCCAACCGTTGCTCCGCTGTTACTAAGAGTCACCCGCCGTGCTGCTAGCGCTACCACCGATGCTCCGCTGTTGCCAAGAGTCACCCGCCGTGCTGCTGGCGCTCTCACCGTTGCTCAAGCGTTGCCTCGCTGTTGCCAAGAGTCACCCTCACCGTTGTTTCGCTGCTCCTGAGAGTCACCCGCCGTGCTGCTAGCGCTCTCACCGTTGCTTCGCTGCTCCTGAGAGGCCTCCGCCGTGCTGCTAGCGCTTTCGC